AGTATGAGTGTTGGAAATGTCAGTGTGTCTTGAAGTGGAGCTCGGTGCGTAAGAGCTCTGTGTTGTACAGATGGCTGTGCATTCTGTTTACACCTCAAGAGGAGAAATAGAGGCAGAGCTGTTGTTGCCCTTGCCTCTCGTGGCCTGAATGTTAATACATAAGGTTCACAGACACAAGAAAGCACACACTGCCTTTTAAACAGGTTAATTGGACAGTATATGCAGTGCAACATAAAACATATTATTCTTTTCAAGAACATTTTATAGGATAGGATATATTGTCATAGTATTACATATAAAGTAACCAGAATATTAAAAAATAAATAAATTGAGCACCCAATTTGGAGTTTGAGATAGGAGTGCTTGCAACGAGTCAGGGAGGGTAACATGGGGTAGTCTGTGAGGGTAACATGGGGTAGGTAGTCTGTGTCACTCACCCTAACCCTCTTCAAGCAGAGACCACAGAAGAGATCTTATCCAGTGGCTGATCTGCTCTATGAGCTTCATTATCTGTCATATCTGGGCTCTGAAGAGAAGACTGAAAACCCAATTGGCAACTCGGTTCACAGGACAACAATCTCTCTGTTTGTACAAAGAGTGATTCAGATCTGGAATTGGTTGACTTTGGCTACAATTCACACATAAAAAATGTCAAGTGGATCTACGGAAAAACTGAATGTGGGTGAAAACCCTCCCAAAACAGCAAGGTGTTGATCTATGCAGGGGTTCAGAGAGTCTTTTAGATGACTCTAGTGTTAACTGCAATGAAAAAATAAGAAAATGCATAAAATGATCAAAATGTTTATTGATCATATATAGAACATGCAAATGACATGATTTCTCCTTAAATAGATTTTATTAGTTTAAGTCACCATCTTTAAAAGGACTTGAAAGCAAATTTTCCTCTTACTGCTCTTTGTCTTGATATAAAAGCAAACGTGGTCCTACATGGGTCAGGCAAACAGGATTATTTGTTCAGAATTGTATTTAACCTGAAACTTGGCTACAACATCATTCTGAAGATTCAAGTTTCAGGAGTTTGATCTTTAATATAGTAAGATTGGCCTTATTGAAAGAAATGCACTACTTTCCATTTTTTCAAAAGGGGATGAAGGAAAATTTTGAACCAAGGTCGAGAGCCTCTCTAAGTCAATATCTTCCAACTAATCAATGACTCTAAAGCAGATGGTTGTTTTGCACCGTATCATCAGTGAAATAAAAGAAAGAAATGGAAGGTGGATACACAAATCTTTTTCTACACAGGATGATAGGCTCTATCAAGCCTTTAAGGCTTTCTGAGCACAGTTCCAGCCAAACACCAGCAACTGACCAGATGTCAGGTATTTCATAAAAAACGATAGAACAGCCGCTGTGTGACTATGCTAGCAAGCTCGAGTCTCATTGCAGATTAGTGCCAGCTTTATTGCATTTACACTTTCAAGTATAATTGAATTTAGGGTGAAAAAGTGAAAGTGTATGGCTTCATTTGGAATTTGCATGCTGCCAGATATCACTGACACATTATTTTTTGAGACATTTGAAATTACTTTTTAATCTCATTCTCTGTCAAGTGCTTGAAATAATGAAAGCGATTTGTTTTGATGCAGACGTTTTGTAGCAAACATAGAGAGACTTTCTTATCCTTTACAGCAATATGAAATGTGAAGTATAATCCAGGAATTATTGTCAGGGTAATGACAGTCAGAGGTTTGTGCACTCTCATGGGCATGAGTGTCATATTAATTGTGGGCTTTTCATGATGCATTTGAATGATCTTTTTATCGAAGACAGTCACATAACCCCTACGTAACATTTAAGCTAAATATTCTTTACTCTTTGTGGAACCCAAAGCTGGCGACCAGCAATTGTGTTGATTTATTCATAAAACTAGCTGCATATAAGAAAACTTTCCTCATAAAGCTGTCTTAAATTGTTTGGTTTTCTGGCAGGGAATTTGTCTTTTAGGAGTAGTAAAAACATCTCCAAAAAACTGAAGAGTTGCCGAAAAGTACTTATGAGGATGAGTCACCAGCTCTTTCCCCGCTTTGTGCAGCATCAACAGTGTGCACCGATGAATGAAATCTGCTCAGCTGTCATGGAGACATCATAGGCAGCACATTGCCCACGTCAACCACTGGCTGCACATCTGCAACTTGTGTTAGATGTAAATGCAATGAAATACAGCTGTGGTTTTCACAAAAATGAAATATCACCACTTTTCCAAACATCCAAGATACTTAAAATTTAAACTGAGTCAAGCAATCAAACAAGCAGGTGGTTTCAGACTTTGCTTTGACTTCAGGTATGAAAATAATGAGCACATAGCGTAAGAAAAGAAACATTTTTTTGGGGGGGCATTTTCCAATGTTAAATTCTTCAATGTATTAATTGAAAAAAAACAAATCAAAAAGTGTCCGGATATCAGCATCCTCCAGAATCAGACATTTGCCGAAGCTGTGTCGATGAAATGTGGAGTCAGCCAGAGAAAGCTTTATCACAAGAGCCAGGCTCATTTTATGTAAACAAACAGCAGTGTCCAAAAGAATACAGATAGAGCAAACCACACAAATTGGCTTAGGCTTGTGACCAAGACTGACCGGCCTGATAAGAGTCACAATAATAAAACAAGATGATTTTTTGTCAGTGTGGTCTTATAAAATGCTTGACTTCTATTGAATGAATCAGAATATCAGAGAAATGCTCCTACACACAACTGTTCTTTCTGAAATGTTGTATGAAATATATCAAACAGCAGGTAAAGAACACAACAGCATTCATTATTCAGTCAGTTCTGCTGCCAGGTCTCTAAGAAAGACAAATAATGAGAGTTTGAGTTCACCTCTGGCAGGTGTGAAATGACATTTACCTTCAACTGATGACAACCAGCAAATATTTTTGTCACAAAATAATTGCTTTTTAATTTAAAATATAAAGATTTTCTGTTGTTTTGAAGACTTTGAAAACAACCAGAGGCAAAAAGTTTCTGATCTGTCAAAGTGAAAGCCTGTTTTCTTACTTAATGAATTTGAGAACAACAAAAAAAAACACCAGATTGCTTGAATCCACTGGAGTAATTTTTTTTTTCTTCCTGTGCCTTCGCATCACATCAATCTTTTCTAACCTGCCTGCTTCGTTTGTTTGTTCCAAAGCCAAATCGTTACAGAAACATCAAAAAAGCCTCAGCAGTATTTATAAAATATTTTGCATTTGCCTTGGGCAGCTAATTGTCTGTCAATTTATCCCAGCAGGATTCCTAATCAATCCCCTCAATTTCTGGCCTGAATCAGAGAGGCGCTTGATCATTACATAGTAATTACAAGTCAAAGAGAAACCTGAGCAAGTGATTCAATATTCTACCCCACACATCATTTGGTTACATTTTACATAGTATACTGGTACACATTTAAAACCTTAGATAATGGACAGAAATATTATTCCTGAAGGTCATTTTGGTCCTAATGAGTAATTTCTACCGAAATGATTACTGTTTTACCTAAAACTACCTAAAACTCATCAGCTTCACTATATTGTATTTTACATTAAAGAAAGTCAACTGGTCATTGATTGTAAAAATAAAAGCACCGATAAATGACATTTATCCTGAGGGAGTCTTCCCAAGGGATCAATAAAGTCAAGTCTAAGTCTAAGTCTAAGTCTAAGAAACACTCTTAATCAATTTTTAATTTCTACCATTAACTTTTCACTTGCGGTCCAGTGTCTTTGGCTGATGAGAAGGTTTTCCTTCATTGTTTTTGTTTTTATCCTATTTGACTAAAAGAATAATGTAGGAATGGTTCATGTTGAGAGGGCTCAGGTGAATCCTAGAAATGAAGACAAGTAGATGTGCATCAGAAAAACATCTTGTTTTTCCTCTGCTGCAGACATTGTCTGGTTTTAGAAAATTGACACACTTAGTGTTTTACGACTAATATCCACAATCAAGATGGACTGGCAGACAAATCGGATGGATGAATGGATGGTAGTTAACATTGGGAAAAGAATGGGACTTTTGCTGTTCGTGGAAAGCGAAAAACACTTTTCAGGTAGCACACAATTCACCAGCTTAATCTAAATACATGGCTTTCCCCAAGAGATGTATACCAAATACTGGGGCAAACCACAAAAGGACACAGCTGACCCAGCCTCACAAAATTGGAGGAAATCTAACATCAGTCTACGTCAGAATGTCAAAAGGAAAGATCTGGAGAAAGCCTGTAGCAACACAACATAACTACAATGAGGAACCCTGAGAGGCAATGCCGTGGTATAGTCACATGTGGCTTTTAATGGCACTGTGTCACTACTCTTCATGGAAGTGACAGGAGACAGAAGCAGTCAGATGAACTCTGAAGTCATTTAGAGGACTGTCACCTCACATTCTGTCAAATTCAGTAAAGATTATTGGACTGTGTTTCTCAATACAGGTAACCCAAAGGGCATCAGAGGTCTTTTTATAGGTGAAGGAGTAAAATATTTTTCAGTGACTGAGTCAATCAATTCAACTGAGGTCATTCAGGTTCTCTTTCAAGGCTTAAGGCAAAATTTTCCACAAAGTAGCAAAACATTTTGTTTTTTTTTCTAAAGTTTTTTTTAATAAAAGATTTTCAGCAGAGATGCAAATAACATGTGTACTGTAAGCTCAAGCTGTTCAGACAAGTTTTAACATGACAAAATGTGGAAAAAGTTCCACAGATACTTTTGCAAGGAACTGTTTTTATTACAATCTGCATTTATTTTTTTCTATTTGGTAAATAAACAGGGAATTGTACCTGGAAAGGACTGAAGTATTTATATTATAGAAAAAGGCATTGCATGATGACGTATAGGCTGCGTCTTGATGCACAAATAGCGAGAAGACATGCCATTAGCATTCTATTATTTTTTGGTTTTTTTGATGTTTGTTTTTTGTTTGTTTTCCCCCTCTGCTGTTGACTTAATTGACATGTCAAATCTTCAACTCTGGTCATTTGGTGAAGGTTTCCCAGTGCGTGCGTCAAAGCGCTACATTAATGACCGCTCTCAGCGTGAATATCCTGTTTTATGTAAGAGTGGGTTATCTGTTTGCAATAGAACCCGTCTCCTCGTTCAGAGGTGAGTCTCCTCAGCTCCTCCGCGGCGCTGCTCCTGTGCGTCCTTTTACATCTCCGCGCCCTCCAACTGGAGACAGTCACGGCGCGCACCATGCCAGGAGCGCATCGGAGCATTGCCTCGTCCTTTCTGTCTCGAGCTCTGCGCAATACGTTATGGGATTGCTAAGAAAATGACCTAAACTATTGAGAGTTATGACTCCTCGAAACCAGTGAAATAGTTCTGATGAATTCCTAAAGGAGAAGAAAAAGATGACACATAAGCTCTGAAGAAGTGGCGCATATTTTCTGACTGGTGCGACTAAACCCAGCTACAGGTAAGCGGGGTTTTTTGGGGTTCATTTGCACATATTCTAGAAGTTCAGTAAAGCTCAGTTAAACTCACATGTATCAAATGTTTAGTTTTTTTTTAAATCATTACATCTAAATTGATAATTATTTGATTTGATTTTCCCAGCATGTAATAATGTTTAAGACCAAAAAATAAATAAATAAAATGCATGTACATGCGAGTTTATTTTGTTCAAGACAAACAGAATCGCCGGATGGTGTGTGCAGAGTTTCTCAACATCGTTAATGACTGACATGAATGACCTCATGCCTTTTACTTTGCGTTTTGTCAGAATGCATGTCATCTGCACACAGTCTCTTAAAAATAAATAGAATTCACTCATGTAGTCAAAAGAAGAGCAACAATAATGACATCCTCGTGAAAAGGAAGAAAGTACAAGAAACAAAAATGAACCTGCATCTTGAAGTTATGTCATCATAGTTTATCAAGATAGACAGCAATATTCTATTTGCTATGTTACACATTTCTGCAAAGAATCGTTTTTCAGGTTTTTAAAATTGTCATTGTTTCTCATTGTTGATTCATCGTCTTACTGGTAATAGGGAAAAAATGATGGACTTATGACAGATTTGTGTTCATTTTTTAAATCCTGTTCTGTTTGTTGCTAGACTATAATTTATATTATCCTGTGCAAAGAAAAACATTTTATTCAAATTTATTTTAGTCCACCTAACGACCAAAATGGACATTGAGCTGTCACTGAGGTCAAACCTCTATTTCAACATCAGGATGTGTGTTCACTTAACATTGTACACAGTTCACGCCGTTCTACTACTCAAAGAGAGAGAGAGAAAAACTGAAACTGGCTCAATAAAACCACTAATGTTATTGGCACTGAAGTTGCATTTGTCCCTTCGTACTGGCAGTGAGAAGCACTTCAATCTGACTGTAGAAAGGCAGTTTGGCTGTACCCTGATTCTCTCCTTTCAATTACTTAGGTCGGGATTAATCTACATGCCCAGGCCTTAATAAATTGAAAACGCCAAAATCTGATGGGAAATTAAGAGTAAATTGTCACATCTGATTGTTTGTCATTTCCTCCTGGGAAGTTTGTGATTGCTTTCTGCATGGAATTATTTCCCTTGATAGCTGAAGGACTTCACTGAATATTCAAAGTGGTGTGACCTGTCTGGTTCTGGCCGGGATCTTCTTCAGACATACTTTTAGTCAGATAAGTTCTCAAGACAGACGATCAAGAAGTTAAATCAATAAATTCCCTCCAGGAAAGGCTGCCCTTATGAGTGATGAGAAAAAGTAAACATGACACAACAGCTCAAAGTACTGAACTCACATTATTGCATTGCACCATGTCACTCTTGCGTACAAAGTTATTGTTATCTGATAGTGAGTGATTAGGTTAATGTCAACTGGGTCGCCAGCATCTGTCAGTGAATGTTCTTAATCCTGAAGAATTGCTTTTATTATTGGACATATATCATAACCTGCAGAGAAACAGTCAGGATCAAAATCAATGTTCTTTTCTGTCTGTGCAGGTGGGATGCCGTAATCAGCTTTGGACAGGGAGACATCATGGAGCCCCGGATGTTCCCATCATCCACACCAAACCTAACGGAGCACATTTTGTGTGACAGCTTCATGCAGGGGAATGAGTCCAGCAATAATGGAAGCTACGAAAACCCCAGCTTCTATCAAACCGGCACTGTGGTCATCACATGTATGTACTTTCTAGTTTGCGCTATGGGACTTTGTGGGAACGCCCTGGTCATCTACGTTATCCTGCGCTATGCCAAGATGAAGACAGTCACCAACATCTATATTCTCAATCTGGCGGTAGCAGATGTGCTCTTTATGCTAGGACTGCCATTTATTGCCATCCAGCTGGCACTGGTCCACTGGCCCTTTGGGCCTGTGCTCTGCAGGGTCGTTATGACGGTGGACTCTCTGAACCAGTTCACGTCCATCTTCTGCCTGATGGTAATGAGCATTGACCGCTACTTGGCAGTGGTGCATCCCATAAAGTCTACAAAGTGGCGAAAACCACGCATCGCTAAAACTATTAATTTAGCCGTATGGGGAGTTTCACTGCTAGTCAATCTGCCCATCGTTATCTACAGTGGTGTGATTACAAAGCACAATAGTTGCTTCTGCACCATTGTGTGGCCAGAACCTCAAGACACCTACTACACAGTTTTCATGTTCTACACCTTCATTCTGGGCTTCTTCCTTCCCCTAATGGTCATCTGCCTCTGCTACCTGCTCATCATCATCAAGGTCAAGTCTTCAGGCATCCGAGTAGGCTCCTCCAAAAGGAAGCAATCAGAACGCAAGGTCACCCGGATGGTTTCCATTGTTGTGGCTGTGTTTGTGTTCTGCTGGCTGCCTTTCTACGTTTTCAACGTCACCTCGGTGACAGGTAGCATCAGCACCACCCCCATCCTGAGGAGCACCTTTGCCTTCGTGGTGGTTCTAGGATATGCCAACAGCTGTGCCAACCCAATCCTCTATGCCTTCTTATCAGAGAACTTCAAGAAGAGCTTCCAGAATGTTCTCTGCCTTAAAAAGGTAGGAGGGCTGGACGAGGTTGATCGCAGTGACAGTCGGCAGGACAAATCTCGCATGATGAATGACCCAACAGAGACCCAGAGTACTTTGCTCAATGGTGACCTGCAGACCAGCATCTAGCAAGTTTTACCAACCCATTTAAGATGTCCTCTGAAAGGCTTAAATTATTAGGCCTCATTAAACTGAAAAATACAAGGCACCATATCAGTTGGGCTTCTCAGTGTTATAGAGAACCTAAACAAGAAATCACAGGTTCATACAAATCTCCTTAGTAAGCTATAAGAGAGTACTTCATGAAGGAGACCTGAGGGAACATAACAAGCAATGACACCTACTTGGCAAATGGTCCCCTGGGTGACATGGATTTTCTCTGGAGACTCAGTATTATATATGTTGTTTACAACAGAGGACCTGCATCAAGTTTCCCAGCAATGTTTGAAAATTACAATAGAACAACACAGCACTGTAAAAGAACATGTAGTTATTTGAGCTGCCAGTAATGATGCCCTGGAAAGTAAATATTTCTGTAAATAGCTGTGCATATAATGGACAAGACATAAAGATTGTTTAAAAATGGACCAATATTGTCATGCAGCTTTTAATTATAACCCTAGCTTAGCCGTGTTTAATGTGAAACATCCTTCTGTGGCAAAATGTAATGAACTTCAGTGCTCTTGTGTTGATTTTTTTTTTCTGTGGGTAGTTCACTTGTGATATACCAAATGTAAATGTCAGTAACATTTGTTTCATGCATTATTGAGGCAATAGCCCAATAAATCTGCATCTCTGGCAACATACATCACAGCGTTAAGCTAGAAAGTTTTTCTTGCTGGTGTTCATTTTTCTTGCTGGTGTTCATTATACTAACTTTCTTTGTATTAAGTGTTTTACATCATTGCTTGTGTATAAGTAAATGTATTACAGGACAGTCTGATCACGCACGTTACCTCTTTTTCAAAAATGTTGGCTTATGTGACTCTAAATTATTCAGTATGAATCCTGGGTTGTTTTGTGCGTTTGTGTTATGCTAGCGTATGAAACCTGTCCAGATACGGTTTCATGGATGAGTATTGTACTCGTCTTTGCTGTGCACCCATCTGTCAGGGGATTGCTTGAGCTTCACAGGTTGCTGTGCATAGGTTTTGTTTTAGGGTTTTCTTTTTAAACATCAAGGTTGTGAAATGCAATGACTCACTCAAGAAAAGACGAACATAATTTAACTGTTTTGTGCCATTTGAGAGACAGCAACCTCTCTGGTGCTGAGTAAGTGAGCGATGTGAATTTGTGAAGGGCTAGAACACTGATCTTCAAGAGGATGTAGTGTTCCTTTCTCATCATAGTCATCATAGTGCTGCTTCTCAACAAAGTCCACACATCACCCTGACAGCCTGTCTGACTCAACAGCCAGATTACCGCCTTTGCAAAGTATTTTCAGCAGATGTAGAGTTTCCTCTTCTCTACATTTGTTACACATAAAATAGTTCAATTATATCTCATTGATCTTCACCACACACGCCTATGGATTGTGCTGTCAGTGTTTCACCTACATATTATATGTTACAGTGAGGATATCTCAAATATGTGTCAACTATGTAATTTTTTTTACACAATTAATGCAATCGTCATCACATTGCGACACGTGGTACTTTTGCCCAAAATAATGAGTTTTGCTAGCATGCTAGCTGGAGAGCTAATAAGCAGACTTCAATAACTATCTTTGAGTAGTGCTTTCATGTTTACCATTTTATAGAGCACAAATAATCACAACGTAATTAAAGTAGTTTATAGTTGCTAAATGCATCATAATGCATTGGTGACAACCAAAGTTACAAGTAAAATAATTTTTTTAGTTTTGATTTTTTTTTTAATTAGCCAAAGCTATTCTTTGTAGATTGTAATGAAAATGTACAATAAAACTACACTTAAAATTTTGTGAAGACTTTAAAAAATATAAAGAAATTGTTGTACATCACATGGCATTCAGAGTTATATTCCAACTAAGTGAATTTTGTTGGCAAAAATGGTACATGTAAAAAAATAAATAAATATAAATCCCCTTTTAGAAATAAATATTGAATTAGTTACATCTTTGTCCAAGAATATGCCCCTTGGGTTAGATTTGGTTCCCTACACACATTTAACACATGCAAACTGCATTGTCCAGAGTCCTGCAACTTTTAGATGCCTCTATTTCAGCACACCTGTCTCCGAATTAAACTCATTAGTAGAGGTCAGTATATATTGCACTTGCTCTACCTGTTGCATTGTGGATCTAGTTTTAATCATTTATACAAACATTAAAAAGGCTTTTACCTCTTGTGTTTCATTGTTCTACTGTTGTGAGCCTAGTTAATTGTACATTCATTGGTAAGTTACATATTATGCATGAAGCCGCAAAGATACCTGAAGAAAAAGAAAATTGCCTTTATTATGACCGCAATGTAAACATATTCAACCAGAAAATTGTGTCTATTCTTTTAATGGGTGGTACAAAATGTAAAGCAGTAAAAATGGTTTGCATCACAGTAGCAAATTAACTATAATGTGGCATTAGCTCTTTTTGCCTTCTTCTTGCAGTGCTAATGAAGACATTTTCTCTTAAAGATGCATTATGTAGCCAATTGTTTTGTCCTGCTCACTGTAGTCATCATGGCAACTGTTTCTGTTTCAAGTTTGTATAACCTTGATTTTGTTTCTCAAGCTTCTGCTTATTTATAATAAAACAAGGTTGAACCAAGGCTGTGTTGACTTAAAGCAGTAGGAGTACTTTACTTTGATAAATATGCTTTAAAAAAAGCACTACATACCATTAAAAGCAAAATTACTGAGAACATATTTTAATTAATTCTGAGATATGGTTACATCAAATAAGTTTGACTTCTCCACATCACTTTCCTTTCATACAAATCACAACTGAAGTACAAGCTCAACATCAGCTATATCTGGCCAATTACATGCCTGTTTACTTCAGAAATATGCAACACTTTAGTATAACAGTACAAAAACTTTTTTCTGTAAAACTCATTCATAAAGGTATACGTTTTATAGCTGGAATGTGATTTACATTTATTATTTTTTTCCTTTATAGGCTGTATTGTGCTTCTGGATGTAGCCACAAGGTGGCGATATAATCACATGCATGAAAGTTGCTCAAAGACCAGAAACAAAATGTTAAAATTTGACCTGTATAGAACTGTATGTCAGCAAATTTCGGTATTCTTTTGCCCTGTTGGGATAATAGCTCATCAGTGATACAGAAACTGTACAACTGACAATCGAAAACTATACAGATTTGGCTCAGACTGCGGTGCATCATCTAGTCCTTCAGAGGAAAAATAAAACAGCACACAAAATACACATTCCAGTTTTGTTCTGAGTTTAATCACTGAAACAGACAATGAAGCTCTCCTCTTCTTTTGTTTCAGCGGTTTCCCTGAATGCCTTCGGATGGCCTGAAACTGCTCAAAAATGCATCAAAACCATAATGTGACCATTACACATTAACTGGTGAACTTTACTTCTCAGAAAACAATTATAGTCCTCTTACCAAAAAAGATATGCAGGTTTGATTTCGATTACAGAGCAGCAAAACAAATACGAATCTTTTTTTCTTTTTTACAACTCAGGTAAGTGCCCTCATTTTTTCATTTGTATTTTTCACATGTGGGAATATTTTTGAATTTTGTACTTTTTATACAAACAATTTCAGTAACCCTGACATGGATTATGTGCGTCATTAGATCTGACAATCATTTTTTTTTTGTCTCTTTTTTTTTTTTTTTACTAATCTGCAGAGATCAGTAAATTGCAGATAATTGCAACAGTGATCTGCACCAGCCACAGTTGCAATGAAGTTTAACACTAATGGATTCAGAGCCAGGATGTGGTCAAGTAGTGCCCTTATATGTGCAATGTGTTTATACATCTTACACATTCACCTTTTCGCTCTGCAAATTGTCGTTCCGGAGCAAGCTTAGAGCCGCAATCCACGGCAATTTTTCACACATGATCGCAAAAAGCCTGGTTGCATGCAGTGTGTTGTTAATTTCTGTTTTTTTTTTTTTCCTTTTCTTGCACAGAAAATTCAGATTTAAAGTTCACATATCAAAGTCCTCTGCAGAATGCCACATGAACGCTCTCTTTTAGCATATTTAAACATCACAAAGGTGAGCTGATAAATCCACACCGTCATTATACCCACAATTCCACGAGAATGAAAGCATAATACGTCCAAAAAACATTTCAGGTACCAGAACAGCAAGGAACATGTGACTGTACTGAAAAAAAATACACAGAAAAATAAAAGTAAAAACTCAAAATTTAACAAGTTGCTAAAAAAATAGATATTCCCTGCCCTCAACCAGACTTTAGAATGAAAAAAAAAAAGGTAAATAAATGAACATGAGAACACTCAGGTCCAGATCTGTTTAGTTTCCATGGCAGCGCTTCTCCAGCAACTGGCAAAGGCAGCGTTTCTAAGCTCTCCCATGTTTTCTCTGCTCTTAAAAAATAGATGTATACTAGAATTCATACAGTATTTCAAAGCTAAAGTCACAAATGATAAGTATCATAACCAAACCTTCAAAAGGGTCCTTGCAAAGGTTGCAATACACTGGTTTGTATATACGACTTATTTTATTTTAACTTGTTTTTTTTGTTTTTTTGCATTCAGTCCTATATGCATATGAAAACATACTGTCCTCATTTTGAGCAAGTTAAATGCTTGGTCAGTTGAAATGAGAGCACCATGGGAGAGAAATGGAGGGGGTGCGGGGGTCAGAATACTGTAAGAAAATCCCAGGTGTGCCCAGCATCACACTCCATCCCTGCAGCAGGAAGGGAAAGGGGACAGAGAGACTGTGGGATCTGGGGCCTCTTCCCACATCAGAACAGGCGACGCCCGACTCTTCCACCACCGATCCTTTTCATTCAGTTTTGTCAAGTAGATGCCAAGAAGTAGCTCAGTGCTTTTCTATTTTTTTTTTTTTTCAGTTTCCATGATTTTACATGTCTTTTTTTTTTTTTTTTTTAATCCGTCTTACCGAAGGAGCAGACTGGTAGTTAAAAGGTTTCAGGTAGGTTTGTGTGTTTGCGTTTCATCCCGCCCCCTCCTCTCTTCGCTCTCTCCCCTTTGAAGCAGTGGTTCTTCATGATCAGTGGTCACAGAAGCTATTCATACTCAAGGAACTGTTTATGATAGAATAAGAGATACCTGAGAGGGAAAACAAGGATCAGATTTAGATTTTATTACTTCCTTTTCAGAGTTCTGCAAAAGGCTAAGTTCAGTTCTTACCCCTCGCTATCAAGTACATCCTTAATGCTGGCCTTGGTGATTATGGCATCGTCGCATTTGAACCACTGGTCTTTGTGTTGACGGATGAAGCTAGTGTAGTGGCCGCTCTCTAACGTGCCTTGGTGGTTGACCACTGCAAACAACGAATACCTGAAATAAAGATGGATCAGCTATGATTTAGATTGCTTCATAAAACTTTGATTATTTTTGCTAATTTAAATATATGTCGCTTCCAGCTGACATAATTCCAAATTTTGTTAATATAATTTTTGTATTATATAAAAAACAAAAAAACTGTTTTACTACAGCTATAATGTAGATAGAAGGTAGAAGGTAGCCCAGGAACAACATTGTGTTGGCTACTATATAACCAACACAATATGGGTTGGTTATATGGGTTGCTTTTAAAATGGAGCCAAAAAAATAAAATTAAATTAATAGTGTAGTAAACGTGACACTCAGTGGAAACAAGGCAGATAATACCCAGGACAGAAGTTACAATTTTATTTTCTGTGTCAAGTCACTCCTCGACCAGAGATCGAGACGT